ACTTTTGCCTTCTTGCAAGACAATACTTTAACCACTAGAAACGGTGCATACGCATGGTCTAAAGTTTGCGGGAGGATAAGCACATTCCAGCCGAGCGAGCCTCGCTCTTTAGCGCGAGTGATTTCGGAAAAATTGAATGTATGCGAAGTAGTTTTCACATTCAAACGTTATATGTCCAATGCCAGAATCAAATATGCTTCCCGAAAATAACATGGTCGCTGTGGTATATTGGCGATTTTCTACATTTATTAGAGTGCCATCAGGTAGCCTGATTTCAGATGTGTCCATGTAAACAGGATTATTAGGGATAATGTTCTTGCAAAGCATGTAAACGTTTATTTATTTTTTAAATCAAAGGCACAACTTTGATTTAACATGTGGGAGGGTCAGAACCTTGCGGGGATCTGGGGGTCCTCCCCCAGATTTTTTTTTTGCCACCCATAGCTAATTTCTTGCATTTCTACACAATTTAACATGACCATTCTAACATGTTTATTTTAGAAGAGCAAAACTAAGCAAAAAGGGCCACAGTTATCAAGCTAGGTAAGAGATAATTAAACTTGTTTAAGTGATTGATAAAAGACTGAACTAGAGCAAAGGTAATTCAATCATCAATATTGTGTTGCTAAGTACACATTCTTCACTTTAGTTTTGTAATGAATTCCTCTATATAAAACATCAAACTTAGTCATTAAATATTTCAAGTTTCTATGAATATATAGTAAAAGGATATCTTCACTTACAGACTCTTTTGTCATTTACCCATCTATGGGTAAATATTTCAAGTTTCTATGAATATATAGTAAAAGGATATCTTCACTTACAGACTCTTTTGTCATTTATGTAATCTATGGGGTCAGGAGAGAGTCGTCCATTGTTCGGATTTGTTTCAAAAGCATCTGCCAACTTGAGTGAACTAGCCAAAAACACTATGGGAGTGATAGGGGGCAAGCTCATGATTTTCAAAAGTTGTGGTCAAATCACCTCGAAGTAACTTCAAACCAAGTCTTTGAGTTGATTTGTTCATGCAATTCTGAACATGGTGAGCTTGCCCCTATCCATTGTATTTTTTTGGGGGGTTAGGTTAGCTCATATACTGTAGTTTCATACCCTTAGCATATGATCAGAAGATGTGCTCAGAACAGGAGTTACATAAGCCTTTACCTGAAGGAGGAGTTCTTGGCCAATTCATGTGATTTAGGCTGCATTTTGTGATGACATTTGTCTATCAGGTTTGACAAGCACCTTTATTAGGGCTCTGATAGATAATCACTATTTTAGGGATGGTGAATGCCAGAGGCAGATGTGGCAGACCATTACAATGCTGAAGTACAGTGCATTCCTCTGAAAACTAAGCGTTTTCTACGTTATATGAATACCTTATTAACATACATTTGTTTTAAGATAGTGATGTCACAGTTTAGTGTGAACCCTTTTTACTCCACCAACAGGATATAATGTTATCCAGCACACAACCAACACAGAAGACCAGGGCAGGTAAGTTATTATAAATGAATGGGTTAAACATGGATCAGACCCCTTTTCCCCACCTCCCACAGCAGACTGCACGATTTCCCGGACTTGTGTCGATAGACTCCCCTCAGGTACATAGGTAGGTAGGTTACCCCTGCCCTCCTCTCAGGTAAATATCGGACATGCAAAAGTGACACACTGCATTATTCTGATATGGCACTATAAAAATATGGTAAACGGCACTACAATCGCACTCTGGTGCTGCGCACAAGACATCACCACTTGCATCGTGGACCGAGCCCCCACGGAGAGACATTTTCCGCTCAACTCCCAGCCCTGAACACCAAAAAACAAAGGGCTTTTAAAGGAAATTACAGCCAATTCACAGCTACCTGTCTGATTAGCTAACTCCCTGGAGGTGCGCCTGATCACACCAGCCCCGCCACCCACTTATCTACCAACCCATCTCGTGACAATAACATATTATTCTCTATATTAGGACACTTGGGGGAATCCGAAACAAATGTGTACAAATTATTTTATGAACTTTTGAATCTGGCCTTATAACGCAAAGATATGTCAAATCAGGTAATGCCAAATTTGAGTCTAAATTAACTATGATTTGAAGTGATTGAAATGCATCAGACAAGTATTGGAAAGTTCAGGAAAGGAAGATCATCAGGCAATCATTGTGTATATCATATTTCTTACAACAGAAAATCTATTTATTTCCCCCAGTCATTCTGTGCGGTTTTGTCACAGTCCCTTCTAAAGAGTCCTGTGCGACTTGTGAGCGATGTAGATAGCAGCGAAATTCATAGAATGAAAACAAATTCAACATGCTACACTGGCTTTAGAAACCGCTAGTTGCAGAATTAAACGGCTTGCCCGCCTGCTTCCTTCTGAAAGTTGCGCCCCTCGTTTTAATGGAACTATTATATTAATCTGACAGTAATCTCATTATTGTGTTAATGTTACCGTAGACCTACTCATTTGATTATAAGTGGGTGAGGTTACTGATGCTGGTGGTGGTTTTGAATGACTAAGAAGCTGATTATTGTGGCGTTGAAGGCAACAATACCATTAAACATTTCAATCATCATCTATGTTACAAATCTACGTTTCAAGGAGCCTAGGCCCAGCAGTCGTCGAGTTCCTTTCAAATTAGACTGCATAATGTTAATGTGGCTCGTTCATGTATGTGGTCAGGTTGGTTACATCAACACTAAGATTATAATCTAGATTGTTACAATGTAGCATAGATGGAGCCTAATTGCAGACAGTCCCCGCAATTTTGGGTGGATACCCTAACGACATAAATATTTCCTGTCCAAACTATATTTTCCCTCTGACGGCTGCTTTGAACTGATGATGAAGGTCTCTATTATAACTTTTTTTTTTTTTTTACATAGCCTACGTTACAGTACAAGACAAGCGGTGGCCAAATATAGCTGGTATTATTGCCGCAGGACGTGGATTTTTGGCAACAAGCTGATTGTATGTGGACACCACCGAGCGCTCTGATATCCGACCTCCCCAATATGCGGAACTGGGCATTTGCGTGGTAAATTCTCCTAAAAAAAAAAAATTAAATAGCCCACATCCTGCCTACCGTTACCCTCTGCAGTTTTCGGATGAATTTTAGGGATGTATCTCATTGTTAGGTAGCAGCAAACTCAAGACAAACTCAGAAAGAGAGAAAGACACAGGGACTAAACGAGAAGAAGGAATGCTTCGGGAGAACAGATGTTTTTGTTCAGGAAAAACTCCGAACTGAGATTTCATGGGGAAAGAAACAAAGAAGGTAACTCTAGGTTACGTAAAACATGGTAGTACGTTTCAATGTAACCGTATCTTGCTTTGAAATCGCTTGCGGGCTTTTGAGGTTATGCTATTAAGGTTCGCTGCACAGTCAGTAGAATTAATGGGACAACTCGCAAACTTTCCTGCAAGAATGTTGTGTGGAAGCGTATTTCCCGTTGAAGCAGGACACATATGGGGACTGTATAGCGGCCAATGTCGTGCACTATGGAGGAAAGTAGAGTAGGCTAATTAAAGATGGTCGAAATGAAGGAGAGAGGAGAGAAAATATTATTTTCCTATGGCATGCAGGCATATTGTCTTGACTGGAGACAGTCACTGGTTCCCGTGTGTGCTTTTGTAGCAGTAGCCTAGCACGTTGCCTTCTTCATACAAGATAAAGCTATATGCCTTTCCGAATTCTGTGATGTAGTTCGAAACTTTTTACATGCTTGCTAGGGACTTCCCATACTCTACAGGCTGTACAGGCAAAACATTGGCCACGTGGAGGAAAGCTGACAAATGATTGGTGATTTGCACCATTACGCTCACGTCATTCTACTGTTAGCCTTTTGCCATCACAGCACCGGTGTGTCTGCCATCACAGCACCAGTGTGTCGTCAGTGATTAAGTTCATGTAAACTCAGGTGTTATTTTTTTGGGGAACTGTGTTTCTGTCAGGACAGGAGTGTTGTTACACTGAGGACTTGTGAAGAGAATAATCAACAACCTCTGCATCATCAAGACAGTTGCTTTGTGAGAAGGTGTTAACCATGGAAGGTAACTCATGTTCTTAGTTAGTAATTGTTATGTAAATGCTAGCTGGAGAGTACCAGTGGCCTTGCCTTGGGCCCAAGTCAGAGCAGGTCCACTGAAGCCATGGCCCAGTGAGACACTGGAGCCTGTCCGTGGAGGTGGAAACACAAAAGTCTGGGGCTTTTTGGTATAACACTGGGGTAAGTCTCAGTTGTGTGTTAGGTGAGTGTGTGTGTGTGCTTGTTACACAGTAACTACACTTAGGAAGTTTAAAACCATCCTGGTTTCCTTTCCAAACTGTTCAATCATTATACCTTCATCAGGCCTAAGCTGAGTAGTTACATATTATGACTTGACGGCAATGTCCTTCTCTTTATTGTTCATTCTCTCTTTGTTTGCCCCTTCCTCTGAGAAGCTGACAGGTTTGTGTTTGTGTTTGTGTGTGTGACTGTGTTTGTGTGTGTGTGTATGTTTGTGTTTGTGTGTGTGACTGTGTTCAATGGGCAGCCGAACAGAGACAGATGTCCATTCGGTGCTAAATTAGACAATAGCACTAAATGGCTCTTGGCTGTCATCTTCTTGTCTCCACCCCAGCTATGGCTGAAGATGTCTCTGGACTCTGACAAGGCGTGTGGGATGCTGTCCCAGAACTCCACGACCTCCTGCGTCTTCCAGGCTGCAGATGAGAAGGATGATGTCCCAGAACTCCACGACCTCCTGCGTCTTCCAGGCTGCAGATGAGAAGGATGATGTCCCAGAACTCCACGACCTCCTGCGTCTTCCAGGCTGCAGATGAGAAGGATGATGTCCCAGAACTCCACGACCTCCTGCGTCTTCCAGGCTGCAGATGAGAAGGATGATGTCCCAGAACTCCACGACCTCCTGCGTCTTCCAGGCTGCAGATGAGAAGGATGATGTCCCAGGGGTGGGGGAGGACAGGTATACTCTAAAACCCTGTCCCTCCTCTCTTTCGCTCTCTCTGTGTCTCTCTCTCTCTTTTTGTCCGTCTCTCTCTCTCTCTCTGTCTGTATCTCTCTCAATTCAATTACATTCAATTCAAAGGGCTTTATTGGCATGGGAAATGTACAACATAAATATAGGTTGTATTTACAGTGGTGTTTGTTTTTCGCTGGTTGCCCTTTTCATGTGGCAACAGGTCACACATCTTGCTGCTGTGGTGGCTCACTGTGGTATTTCACCTAATAGATATGTGAGTTTATCAATAGCAAGGCTATGCTCACTGAATCTATACATAGTCAAAGCTTTCCTTAATTTTGGATCAGTCACGGTAGTCAGGTATTCTGCTAATGTGTACTCTCTGTTTAGGGCCAAATAACATTTCAGTTTGCTCTGTTTTTTTGTTGATTCTTTCCAATGTTTCAAGCAATTATCTTTTTGTTTTCTCATGATTTGGTTGAGTGTAATTGTGTTGCTGTCCTGGGGCTCTGTGGGGTCTGTTTGTGTGCAGAGTCTCCGTAACATCTGGCTGAGGTTCACCTCCAGGTTCACCTCTGTAGGTGAGGGCTTTGTTATGGATTATTTTTAGGTGGTTGTAGAATTTAATGGCTCTTTTCTGGATTTGGATAATTAGCGGGAATCATCCTAATTCTGCTCTGCATGCATTATTTGGTGTTTTACGTTGTACACAGAGGATGTTTTTGTAGAATTCTGCATGCAGAGTCTCAATTTGATATTTGTCCCATTTTGTGAATTCTTGGTTGGTGAGTGGACCCCAGACCTCACAACCATAGAGGGTAATGGGTTCTATACAGTGGGGAAAAAAAAGTAATTAGTCAGCCACCAATTGTGCAAGTTCTCCCACTTAAAAAGATGAGAGAGGCCTGTAATTTTCATCATAGGTACACGTCAACTATGACAGACAAAATGGGAAAACAAATTCCAGAAGAAAACATTGTAGGAATTTTAATGAATTTATTTGCAAATTATGGTGGAAAATAAGTATTTGGTCACCTACAAACAAGCAAGATTTCTGGCTCTCACAGACCTGTAACTTCTTCTTTAAGAGGCTCCTCTGTCCTCCACTCGTTACCTGTATTAATGGCACCTGTTTGAACTTGTTATCAGTATAAAAGACACCTGTCCACAACCTCAAACAGTCACACTCCAAACTCCACTATGGCCAAGACCAAAGAGCTGTCAAAGGACACCAGAAACAAAATTGTAGACCTGCACCAGGCTGGGAAGACTGAATCTGCAATAGGTAAGCAGCTTGGTTTGAAGAAATCAACTGTGGGAGCAATTATTAGGAAATGGAAGACATACAAGACCACTGATAATCTCCCTCGATCTGGGGCTCCACGCAAGATCTCACCCCGTGGGGTCAAAATGATCACAAGAACGGTGAGCAAAAATCCCAGAACCACACGGGGGGACCTAGTGAATGACCTGCAGAGAGCTGGGACCAAAGTAACAAAGCCTACCATCAGTAACACACTACGCCGCCAGGGACTCAAATCCTGCAGTGCAAGACGTGTCCCCCTGCTTAAGGCAGTACATGTCCAGGCCCATCTGAAGTTTGCTAGAGTGCATTTGGATGATCCAGAAGAGGATTGGGAGAATGTCATATGCTCAGATGAAAACAAAATATAACTTTTTGGTAAAAACTCAACTCGTCGTGTTTGGAGGACAAAGAATGCTGAGTTGCTGAGATACCTACTGTGAAGCATGGGGGTGGAAACATCATGCTTTGGGGCTGTTTTTCTGCAAAGGGACCAGGACGACTGATCTGTGTAAAGGAAAGAATGAATAGGGCCATGTATCGTGAGATTTTGAGTGAAAACCTCCTTCCATCAGCAAGGGCATTGAAGATGAAACGTGGCTGGGTCTTTCAGCATGACAATGATCCCAAACACACCGCCCGGGCAACGAAGGAGTGGCTTCGTAAGAAGCATTTCAAGGTCCTGGAGTGGCCTAGCCAGTCTCCAGATCTCAACCCCCATAGAAAATCTTTGGAGGGAGTTGAAAGTCCGTGTTGCCCAGCGACAGCCCCAAAACATCACTGCTCTAGAGGAGATCTGCATGGAGGAATGGGCCAAAATACCAGCAACAGTGTGTGAAAACCTTGTGAAGACTTACAGAAAACGTTTGACCTGTGTCATTGCCAACAAAGGGTATATAACAAAGTATTGAGAAACTTTTGTTATTGACCAAATACTTATTTTCCACCATAATTTGCAAATAAATTCATTAAAAATCCTACAATGTGATTTTCTGGATTTCTTTTTCATTTTGTCTGTCATAGTTGACGTGTACCTATGATGAAAATTACAGGCCTCTCTCATCTTTTTAAGTGGGAGAACTTGCACAATTGGTGGCTGACTAAATACTTTTTTTCCCCACTGTAAATGATTCAAGTATTTTTAGCCAGATCCTAATTGGTATGTCGAATTTTATGTTCCTTTTGATGGCATAGAAGGCCCTTCTTGCCTTGTCTCTCAGATCGTTCACAGCTTTGTGGAAGTTACCTGTGGTGCTGATGTTTAGGCCGAGGTAGGTGTGCTCTAGGGCAACAGTGTCATGGTGAATTTATGGTCCTGGCAACTGGACCTTTTTTGGAAAACCATTATTTTTGTTTTACTGAGATGAATTGTCAGGGCCCAAGTCTGACAGAATCTGTGCAGAAGATCTAGGTGCTACTGTAGGCCCTCATTGGTTGGGGACAGAAGCACCAGATCATCTGCAAACAGTAAACATTTGACTTTAGAGTCTAGTAGGGTGAGGCAGAGTGCTGCAGACTGTTCTAGTGCCCTCGCCAATTCATTGAAGATGGTGGGGCTCAAACTGCATCCCTGTCTCACCCCCCGGCCCTGAGGAAATCTCTCTCTCTCTCTATCTCTCTCTCTCTCTCTCTCTCTCTCTCTCTCTTGCTGTCTGTATTTGTCTCTCCCTCTCTTGCTGTCTGTATTTGTCTCTCTCTCTCTTGCTGTCTGTATTTGTCTCTCTCTCTGTCTCTCTCTCTCTTGCTGTCTGTATCTGTCTCTCTCTCTCTCTCTCTTAATTAATTAATTATCTTTCTCTCTCCTTTTTCCTTTCCTTCTGTCTTTTATCTCTCAGGTCACCTAATATTTAATTCCATATAGGCCTACATTCGCTTTCTCAACAAATTCTCATCATATCTTTTCAGTTTGGGTGAAATGTATTTGTGTCTCTCTCCTGTCTCCTGTCTCCTATCTGTTCAGTGTTCTAGAGATGCTGAGTTACTCCAAGTTCTCTGTTCTGGAGACATGGCTGTGCATGCCCTCCACACTGCTCCCCGGGGCCCTAGAGTCCACCACCTCCACTTCTACAGTATATCCCTCCACGCTGCTCCCCGGGGCCCTAGAGTCCACCAACTCCACCTCCTCAGCCTCCACCTCTACAGCACGCCTCTCCACCTGCAGCGAGACAGGAGAGACAGACACACCACACAGGTAACTACAGGACACCTGTTACATTGAACGTAGATAGATAGGCCTTATAACTACCTAGTTTTTACAGTAGTACCTTGTATGGGAGCCAAAGATGCATTTCCATATTAGTCTGTTGACTTCAATTTCAATAAGTTGTACTGGCTATGATCAACACCAGATTTCACGAGTGTAATGGGGTTTGGTTGGTTGTTAAGGATAACTGGTAGGTTTTGGAGTAATAGCATTAAAAGGCAGAGTAGCTTCAATTGTGTCCCACTTAACTATAAGAGGTTTGAAAACCCAAACAGTCACAGGCCCCAGTGAGACCTTGTGTGGTTTAGTCTTTCAGTCATTACAAAGGCTCAATCCACCAGCCTCGTCATTGATTCCCCTGATTTGGCTTCACACACACACACAAACACAAACACACACACACACACACACACACACACACACACACACACACACACACACACACACACACACACACACACACACACACACACACACACACACACACACATACACATTCACACACACACACACACACAGGTACAGTGGGGGAAAAAAGTATTTAGTCAGCCACCAATTGTGCAAGTTCTCCCACTTAAAAAGATGAGAGAGGCCTGTAATTTTCATCATAGGTACACGTCAACTATGACAGACAAAATGAGAATTTTCTTTCCAGAAAATCACATTGTAGGATTTTTAATGAATTTATTTGCAAATTATAGTGGAAAATAAGTATTTGGTCAATAACAAAAGTTACTCAATACTTTGTTATATACCCTTTGTTGGCAATAACACAGGTCAAACGTTTTCTGTAAGTCTTCACAAGGTTTTCACACACTGTTGCTGGTATTTTGGCCCATTCCTCCATGCAGATCTCTTCTAGAGCAGTGATGTTTTGGGGCTGTCGCTGGGCAACACGGACTTTCAACTCCCTCCAAAGATGTTCTATGGGGTTGAGATCTGGAGACTGGCTAGGCCACTCCAGGACCTTGAAATTGTTGCCCGGGCGGTGTGTTTGGGATCATTGTCATGCTGAAATACCCAGCCACGTTTCATCTTCAATGCCCTTGTTGATGGAAGGAGGTTTTCACTCAAAATCTCACGATACATGGCCCCATTCATTCTTTCCTTTACACGGATCAGTCGTCCTGGTCCCTTTGCAGAAAAACAGCCCCAAAGCATGATGTTTCCACCCCCATGCTTCACAGTAGGTATGGTGTTCTTTGGATGCAACTCAGCATTCTTTGTCCTCCAAACACGACGAGTTGAGTTTTTACCAAAAAGTTATATTTTGGTTTCATCTGACCATATGACATTCTCCCAATCCTCTTCTGGATCATCCAAATGCACTCTAGCAAACTTCAGACGGGCTTGGACATGTACTGGCTTAAGCAGGGGGACACGTCTGGCACTGCAGGATATGAGTCCCTGGCGGCGTAGTGTGTTACTGATGGTAGGCTTTGTTACTTTGGTCCCAGCTCTCTGCAGGTCATTCACTAGGTCCCCCCCGTGTGGTTCTGGGATTTTTGCTCACCGTTCTTGTGATCATTTTGACCCCACGGGGTGAGATCTTGCGTGGAGCCCCAGATCGAGGGAGATTATCAGTGGTCTTGTATGTCTTCCATTTCCTAATAATTGCTCCCACAGTTGATTTCTTCAAACCAAGCTGCTTACCTATTGCAGATTCAGTCTTCCCAGCCTGGTGCAGGTCTACAATTTTGTTTCTGGTGTCCTTTGACAGCTCTTTGGTCTTGGCCATAGTGGAGTTTGGAGTGTGACTGTTTGAGGTTGTGGACAGGTGTCTTTTATACTGATAACAAGTTCAAACAGGTGCCATTAATACAGGTAACGAGTGGAGGACAGAGGAGCCTCTTAAAGAAGAAGTTACAGGTCTGTGAGAGCCAGAAATCTTGCTTGTTTGTAGGTGACCAAATACTTATTTTCCACCATAATTTGCAAATAAATTCATTAAAAATCCTACAATGTGATTTTCTGGATTTTTTTCTCAATTTGTCTGTCATAGTTGACGTGTACCTATGATGAAAATTACAGGCCTCTCTCATCTTTTTAAGTGGGAGAACTTGCACAATTGGTGGCTGACTAAATACTTTTTTCCCCCACTGTAACTTGATACACCTATTGGTCCTTGAACGCTTGAGGGCCACTGCCTTTGACTGGGGAGCTCAGTGCCATAATGTGTGGCTATGTTGCCAGTGTTGTTTGAGTGAGTGTTCATCAAGCCTTACCCAGCTCCCCCCTACCCCTGGTCACCCCAAAAATAAACTCTCACAGTATGTGCATCTTGCTGTGTGGCAGACATTGATGTCCATGGAAGCTGATTGCAAAAGTTGAGGTGATAAAACAAGTATAAAAATGTCTAGAGAAATGGATATGTTTTGAGAATTGGTCGATGTTGAGTTACTATGGTAAAGAGCTATGTTGAGTTCGGAGAAGGTAGTGGAATTTTTCGTGTGGAGGAGGAAGACGGGAGACCATAGAGGATCATGGAGGAGCTGCAGTTACAACATCACTGAAGTCAGGTACTAGGTAATAGATAATAGCTCATAAGCCATTTACAAGCAATTAATAACCACTGTTTGTAAATTATCATGTGCAAGCTTTTAGTTGACTATTGGTGGTACAGACCAAGAGTACCAGATTCCACTGTAAAGGGCGAAGCAATGCGGTCTCGGCTGTGAATAATCAGTATGCTTTGGACTAGGACTATGTTTAATGCTCACAGATGTCATGTAATCTACCTAATGGTTTGAGAAAGGCTATTCAAGTTACCTGGATAGTGGGTATTTCAGGGCTTGTTCACTGTTTACATTGTATTTTCAGAACTTCAAAAAGTGTCTTTGGCATTGATGACAGAACAGAACAGAACAGAACAGAAAGCGTTGACAATGTGACTTATTCCTTATCTCTGAACGTTTCATAGACTACTGTAACTATCTCATTGTCTCCTTTTTTCCATATCTTGAATGTTTTAGCTCATGCTAGTAGAGTACTGTGCATACGTGTGTGTGTGTGTGATAGTGTGTGTGTGCATACGTGTGTGTGTGTGTGTGTGTGTGTGTGTGTGTGTGTGTGTGTGCATACGTGTGTGTGTCAAACTGCCACGATGCAAATTAGGTACTATTAGTGTCACTCAAGAGCTCTGAAAAGAAAAACAGAAAATGAAATGTATTACATCTTCCCCTAATTATTATCGCTCTTCAGTGTGAAAACAGTGTTAAATACTAGCTCTGCGTTCCCAATGGCACCCTATTCCATATAGTTCACTACTTTTGATCAGAGCCCTATTGGCCCTGGTCAAGAGTAGTGCACTATATAGGGAATAGAGGGCCATTGGGGACGCAACCAAGGTCATTGACACCTCAGAGGAGAAGTTACTGTATTTAAAGGAATGATTAAATGCAGTCATGCTTGACTGGTCTAATGTGAGTTCTCCTTTATTTCAGTCTAATTGCGTGTCAACTACTCGTAGAAATCCAAAGCAAGGTTTTGTAATTCACTGGCTGTATCCCAAATGGCACCCTATTCCCTACATAGTGCACTACTTTTACTAGAGCCCTATGGGCCCAGGTCAAAAGTAGTGTATGCTGAAATACCTTCATGATCAATAGTGTGTTGTTGTTGACATTCCTACTGGTTTTGTCCAAAGTGTCCATTGTTCAGACAAGCTAGACCGCGGCTAGCATGCTGTTGGAACCTTTCCACTCGTTCAAATTCCACCTGAGCTGAGGAGACCAGCTCCAAGAACAACATAAATCTGACTAAGTTTTATTGGTCAGTCCAGAAATAGACCCGTTATAATTGGTCAGTCTAGAAATAGACACGTTTTGATAAGTCAGTCCAGAAATAGACCTGTTGTAATCGATCAGTCCAGAAATAGTCCCGTTTTAATTGGTCAATCCAGAGGTCTACAGGTGTTTACTTCCTGTCTTGTGTCTTCTACTTCCTGTGTCGGTCCGTAGGCCTCTGGAGAGGGAGACCATGTTCCTGACCCCTGCTCTGGGGTGGGAAACCCTGTTCCTGGCCACACCCCTCGCCCCCATTCTGTCCTCTACGCCATGCAACATGACCCCCGTTACTTCAGCAATGACCTCTGTGACCTCATCAGGAGACTCGGCCTCTCAGGGCAGGGTCAGCGTTAGGAAGCGCAGGCGGCTGGCGGCCAGCCCCAGGGGACTGCAATGGAACTCTACAGGTACACTTCATCCCTCTATCTCATTTTTTTTCTTCTCTCTCTCTCTCTCCTCTCTCTTCTCTCTTCCCTCTCTCCTCTCCTCGCGCCTCTCCTCCTCTCTCTCCTCTCTCTCTCTCTCTCCTCTCTCTCTCTCTCTTTCTTTCTTCTGAAGTTGGGTGGGGTGACTCATTATCTGCTTGTCTCTCTGTATAACTTCTTCAGTAGTGAACGTGCTCTTCCCTTGGATCTATGATGGTCCTATTTATTATGTAGTGTGGTCTGTTTCCTGTGTGTGTGGTGTGAGTGAGTGTGTGTCTCAGCTCCACCCTTCTAGAGAATGATAATGACTTCTTCCTCTTAGACAGATGAAACACACAACTCCTCTCCCCTCTCCTCCTCTCTCCACTCCTCTCCTCTCCCCTCTCCTCACCCCTCTCCTGCTCTACCGTTTGGTGTCAGAAGTCTAACCAAACTATTCTAACTAGCAGTTTTCGCTTTAGCCCTCTAGAGGGAGCTCTAGTCTAATACAAGCTCTGTGCTGCCACAGTAGGACCTAACAAAACAGTCAGTAACACACCACTCTAATATCCCAACTCTGGGTATATTATTATTCTATATATTATAAGATGAAAAACAATGCACATTTTGTTTTGTCCTGTGTTTGAGGAAGGGGAACAGTGGACCTGAAGGTCCCCAGTTTGAATCTCGCCTCGGCCAGAAATAAAATTTCTTAATAAACAACCACTATAGTCTCCATAAGTGATATAATTTTTTCACATTGGTGAATTTACGATCACCTGAGTTAATGTAACAATTATGTTAAATTAATTACATCTAGGGTTGCTACCCAAGCCGGCTGGTTGTTCGTTCTATCGGTTCGGTTGCCAGAGATGCGACCTAGTCGTTAAGTCTTTTTGTTCAATTGCCATACTGGCTGGCAACGTTCTTATCCCTTGCTTGCTAGCTAGCCAACTACAGCTGACTCACAGTCACGTCAAACAGTGCATCCAGAATAACAACAAAGTAGCTGCATTTGCATTTGTTTAAGCTGTTTTCTAGTGACATTTATTTGGAAACATCCTTAACAATGAGCTAATGAGGCGCAATTTCACCTGGAATAGAAAATGTGCTCACTCGTCAGGACACTGTTATTCAGAGGAGCTAGCCAACAACACAGCTAACACAATCACTTCAAAGCTAGAAAGACTGCAAAATAGCTGCACTTGGTTTTGTTTGACCTGTTTTCTATTGATATTTCGGATATTTCTGTATATATCCATAAAAATAATGCTGATTCATGATTTTGACTAGCTGAGAAAGCTGCCTGCCTGTCTGTCTCATCCCGACTCCCAACACCTGACGCGTTCATTACTATGTGACAGCTGGAGATCGAATTTGAATATTGAAACAATCTTGCAAATGTCGGAAATGGAGGGGCGCGACGCTATAGGCTGTGTCCTTCTTCCAAAGAATGAAAAGTTATACATTATTGGCTTTTGAAACATGGAAATGGAGATGGTGATTGGACATGGTTGACAGCCTAACATGGGTAAAATAGCACCAAAAGTGACATGTTAACCTCCTCCTGTGTTTCTATAATGTCATGATGACAGAAGTCACTGTTCTTTGACAACATGTTCGTCATCAAATGTCATGTACCTTGTCAAATGCCATTCAGCTTAATCTTAACTTTGAAATGAACTTTGTGACATAATTAGTTAATGTCCTCATTCTGTTGCGATCCAGGGAATTGTCCAGGTTGGATTCCCTCGATTACTATACAGTGAGGGAAAAAAGTATTTGATCCACTGCTGATTTTGTACGTTTGCCCACTGACAAGAAATGATCAGTCTATCATTTTAATGGTAGGTTTATTTGAACAGTGAGAGACAGAATAACAACAAAAAAATCCAGAAAAACGCATGTCAAAAATGTTATAAATTGATTTGCATTTTAATGAGGGTAATAAGTATTGGATCCCCTCTCAATCAGAAAGATTTCTGGCTCCCAGGTGTCTTTTATACAGGTAACGAGCTGAGATTAGGAGCACACTCTTAAAGGGAGTGCTCCTAATCTCAGTTTGTTACCTGTATAAAAGACACCTGTCCACAGAAGAAATCAATCAATCAGATTCCAAATTCTCCACCATGGGCAAGACCAAAGAGCTCTCCAAGGATGTCAGGGACAAGATTGTAGACCTACACAAGGCTGGAATGGGCTACAAGACCATCGCCAAGCAGCTTGGTAAGAAGGTGACAACAGTTGGTACGATTATTCTAAAATGGAAGAAACACAAAATAACTGTCAATCTCCCTCAGCCTGGGGCTCCATGCAAGATCTCACCTCGTGGAGTTGCAATGATCATGAGAACGGTGAGGAATCAGCCCAGAACTTATTTTTTCCAAGATGGCGTACTAGTGCAGTCCTGTTTTTGTCGTGTGTCTGTAAATTGCCTGTAAATACCCTGTTTTTATTTTATTTTTCGTACTTATTTTCCTATCAGACTTTTCATCCTTCTACAAAATATACTTTCCTGCAACCCGCCTCACTCAACGTGGAACGGATTCTATTATTGACTTACCTTTTATCTAGAATCTCCAGTTGAAACTAGCTAGCCAGCTAACTAGCTACTTGCTATTAGCCACAGTTGCTATTTCACCCAGAACATTGGATTTTCTGCCGGAATAATTTAATCACTGGACATTAATCACCGGATCGCAACTAGCTAGCCGCAACCGAATGGATGTTGCTGTTTGGCTAATCACCACTGCCCCCGATGCAAGCACCAGTTAGCCTCGAGCTAGCCTCGAGCTAGCCTAGAGTCAGGCTCATATCCTGGCTATCTACCTCTAGGTCTACCGGACGGGAGTAGCCAGCTAACTAGCTACTTGCTACCGTTAGCGGTTTTTCACCATTGTCCGTGGCCTGCACCACCTACCAGCCAGCTCTAGTCCGGACTATTATTCGGCCAGTCTGCACAGCGCGTTATCGACCCAGAACATATCAGTTTTTCTGCCGGAATCACTGAATCACTTGACCTTTAACTCTGGATTCATCGCTACCAGCTAGCTGCTACAAAATGGACGTTGAGGTCTGGCTAATCATCCTGAGCTAGGCCCATCTCCCATCTCCCGGCTATCTACCTCTCTGTCAACCGGACGGGACCACCTAGTGTTGACACGGAGCCCCGCCGATCCAACACGACTGGTTTGCCGACGAAATAGTCTGATGTGGTTTCAACAGGCTTCCCGTTGCGACGACCACGAAGATCCATCTGCCAGCCCCGGCCCAATAGCACACGCAAACTACAACTGTGCTCCCTGCTAGCTGTGCTGAAGCACCAATTTGAACTGCTCTCGGACTCACATATTGCTGTTCACTGGACCTTATGATCACTCAGCTGCACAGCTGATGCCTGCTGGACTGTTCCTTTACACTGTACCCTGTCCTGTTTATTCTGTTTAGTCTTAGCCCAAACATTATCGCTATTTCCAGTTGTGTCTTAGCTCTCTCTAATAACACCTGTGACTTCTTTATGCCTCTCTCCCATGTCAATTATGCCTTGCCTATTGCTGTTTGGGTTAGTTCTTATTATACAATTTAACTGTAGAACCCCTAGTCCCTCTCAAACTACCTCATATAGTTCCTTTGTTCCACCCCCCATACACGCCGAGACCGGCTCAATCGATGCCTCCAATGACGCTATCTCTTTCATTGTTACCCAACGCTTAGGGTTACCTGAACTGTACTCATATCCTTCCATATCCTTTTCTGTACATAATGCCCTGAATCTTTTCTACAACGCCCGGAGAACTGCCCCCTTTATTCTATGTACCCAACGCACTAGAAGACCAGTTCTTAAAGCCTTTAGTCGTATCCTTATTCTAGTCCTCCTCTGTTCCTCTGGTGATGTAGAGGCTAACCCAGGCCCTGCAGCCCCCAGTATCACTCCTACTCCCCAGGAGCTATCATTTGTTGACTTCTGTAACCGTAAAAGTCTTGGTTTTCTGCACATAAATATCAGAAGCCTCCTTCCTAAGTTTGAGTTATTCACTGCGTTAGCACACTCCGCCAACCCTGATGTTCTAGCAGTGTCTGAATCCTGGCTTAGGATGGCCACCAAAAATTCTGAAATGTCCATCCCCAACTATAACATTTTCCGTTTAGATAGAACTGCCAAAGGGGGTGGAGTTGCAATCTACTGTAGAGATAGCCTGCAGAGCTCCATCATACTATCCAGGTCTGTGCCCAAACAGTTTGAGCTTCTACTTCTAAAAATCCACCTTTCCAGAAATAAATCTCTCACTGTTGCCGCTTGCTACAGACCCCCCTCAGCCCCCAGCTGTGCCCTGGACACCATATGTGAATTGATTGCCCCCCATCTATCCTCAGAGTTCGTACTGCTTGGTGACCTAAATTGGGATATGCTTAACACCCCGGCCATCCTACAATCTAAACTAGATGCCCTCAATCTCACACAAATTATCAACGAACCTACCAGGTACAACCCTAAATCCGTAAACATGGGTACCCTCATAGATATCATCCTGACTAACTTACCCTCTAAATACACCTCCACTGTCTTCAACCAGGATCTCAGCGATCACTGCCTTATTGCCTGCGTCCGTAACGGGTCCGCGGTCAAACGACCACCCCTCATCACTGTCAAACGCTCCCAAAAACACTTCAGCGAGCAGGCCTTCCTAATTGACCTGGCCCAGGTATCCTGGATGGATATAGATTTCATTCCGTCAGTAGAGGATGCCTGGTTGTTCTTTAAAAGTAATTTCCTCTCAATCTTAAATAGACATGCCCCATTCAAAAAATACAGAACTAAGAACAGATATAGCCCCTGGTTCTCCTCAGACTTGACTGCCCTTGACCAGCACAAAAACATCCTGTGGCGTACTGCATTAGCATCAAATAGCCCCCGCGATATGCAACTTTTCAGGGAAGTTAGGAACCAATATACACAAGCAGTTAGGAAAGCAAAGGCTAACTTTTTCAAACAGAAATTTGCATCCTGTAGCACTAACTCCAAAAAGTTTTGGGACACCGTAAAGTCCATGGAAAATAAGAGCACTTCCTCCCAGCTGCCCACTGCACTGAGGCTAGGAAACACTATCACCACCGATAAATCTACAATAATCGAGAATTTCAACAAGCATTTTGCTACGGCTGGCCATGCTTTCCACCTGGCTACCACTACCCCGGCCACCAGCTCTGCACCCTCCGCTGCAACTTGCCCATGCCCCCCCCCGCTTCTCCTTCACACAAATCCAGACAGCTGATGTTCTGAAAGAGCTGCAAAATCTGGACCCCTACAAATCATCTGGGCTAGACAATCTGGACCCTTTCTTTCTAAAACTAGCCGCCGAAATTGTCGCAACCCCTATTACTAGCCTGTTCAACCTCTCTTTCGTAACGTCTGAGATCCCCAGAGATTGGAAAGCTTCCGCGGTCATCCCCCTCTTCAAAGGGGGTGACACTCTAGATCCAAACTGTTACAGACCCATATCCATCCTGCCCTGCCTTTCAAAAGTTTTTGAAAGCCAAGTCAACAAACAGATCACCGACCATTTCGAATCCCACCGTACCTTCTCCGCTATGCAATCCGGTTTCCGAGCTGGTCATGGGTGCACTTCAGCCACGCTCAAGGTCCTAAACGATATTATAACCGCGATCGATAATAGACAGTACTGTGCAGCCGTTTTCATTGACCTGGCCAAGG